TAAACTTTATTTTGGAGTATCCCCTAACGCACATTTGTATATATTATATCTTTTATCTCTATTTACAGTGATTTTGCCAGAGACATCAGTTTGTCTTTGTCTAAATCTGTGGTAGTTTGTAATGGCAGTATATTACTTATTGTATGACAATAATGCCTTTTACCTTTGTTTTGCAGAAAAATCTTCTAACCAAGAACTCAGAAGAGGACCAAAGAAACCCTGGTCTACTGCTGAAGTTGTTGCTGTAATGCGACATTTCAAAAATCACATAAGTAAAGGAAAACTGGCCTCTAAAACTGAATGCAGCCATTGTAAGTTGGTTGAGGGCCCTGTGTTAGCCAACAGAACTGTGCAAAATATAAGGGACTTTGTGAGAAACCGTGGCATAGCTGCCAAGAGGCAAGCCCTGAAGCAAAAATAAATCAGTCACAGAAGTTTTTTTTTTTTTTTTTTTTTGCATTGAGATGGTTCTTGCTGGTATATTATGTTCACAAATATTAAGCTAGCATTTAATTTCATTAGTTCAATGCAAAGATTCTAAAACCTGGTGCTCCAAAGAGTGTACATTATTTTTTTCCCTAAGATTGTTTAGCCTATTTTTTTTATTTATTTTTTGTTCATGATTGTTAAAACTGAATGCAACATTTGTACTTTCTTCAGTGGTACAAGATTTCATTAGCTCACTACAAAGATTGTAAACACTGATGCTCTAAAGAGTGCACTTTACTTTTTTTTCTAAGACATACGGCAGGGCAATTATTGTTTCAATTATTGTTATTTGGTTTAAACCATGTTCTATTTTTACCTGATGAATAAACAGTCATCAGTGATTTCTGTTTGTCAGATTGATTAATTATCCCCATTTAAAGGGCTTGAAATGAGATGCAGTTGTCCCTTTAAAGTCCCCTTAATGTTTATTTTGTTCTCATAAACCAGTTGTGTGTTTATGGTAATTAGATGGGCGGTACATGTGACATAATTGTCCCTTTAAAGTCCTTGTAATGTTCTATTTTGGTCCTTAAAAACCACAAAACAGAAAGTCCATACTAACCACAACAGTGTCAGGGTGCTGTAAAAAATGTTGTGTAGGTCATATTTAAGACCTAAAGTGAGCTAAATTTTTTTCAGATTTTTTGCAGTGGTTTTATCTTCATCCCATTGGTCTAGGACCTTCGGAAAGGGTGGTCCATGTAAACCACCACCGGGCCTGTTTGAGAGAAATGTCTGGCTATACCACAAAAACCAGTATGTGTGTGTGTGTGTGTGTGTGTGTGTGTGTGTGTGTGTGTGTGTGTGTGTGTGTGTGTGTGTGTGTGTGTGTGTGTGTGTGTGTGTGTGTGGGTGGCCCGGAGGACAGAGGACAGGAGAACACGCAGCTGATTAATTAAATAATTTGGGTCTGTACCTTTCTCTTCAGCACAGCCGACAAAGGTTTGTGATGGGTCAGTCCTCCTGCATGCTCAGATCATTCCCTTCCCTTGCTTGAAAAATTGTTCCAAAATGAAAGTTGAACCCACATCTTTTTTATCTGTGAATTCAATGCCGTTCGGCGAGTCTCAAATAAAAATTTGGGCATCTTACTGTAAAAAAATATACCATTAATGTGAAAAAGAAACTCTAAATAAACTATGTTCACATCCAGAATCGATCGGGTCTTCTGCCCGAGAGTCCAACGTCTCACTAGGTGAGCTAAAGCGCCAATGACGTGTTCTGTATCTGTAGCTCTTATATCCTTGATGACAGCTGAAACAATGTTCAAAGAACGATTCGGAGCTAAAATGGCTATTTTGTTGCTAATTTGCAGGAAATATCTAGAAGAAAGTAGCGAAGGGTCCTCAGAAATGTAGCTAGGTTCGTCACTAGGCGTTAGGAACAGCGACAAAGTGGCACTACCTCACTCTCTGCTGCTAAGCTACGGATAGCAAATGCTACGGGCTATGCCTGCGCGTGAACGTGCATGAAGCAGCCTGCTCGACCCGAGCAGCTCTCTTTTTCTGTGATTTTACAGAAAACAGGCAATCACAGTAAAATGCCAGGGCTCATTCTACAGGACCAGGGCATTGCAGGAGAATGTATGAAGAAGAAATGTATTATTTCTATACATGTTTTGGCTGTCAAACTTCCATAATGCCCCTTTAAGAGGTACACCGAGGTAAGGTTAAACCTCTGGGAGGATGACCTTTTAGGTTGAAGATGGAAAATGCACATCAGCAGACACAACAGAATCAAAATTTCTTGGACTTCTTATTGATGGAGACTTGACATGGAAATCACATAATAGTTACATAAAAGGTAAAATTTGCCAAGGAGTTTTACATAGAGTCAAGTTTTTACTGACTAATTCTGGTTTGTTGGCATTGTACAAATCACTGATTGTTCCTTACTTAACTTATTGTGTAGAAATCTGGGGAGCAACATACAAAAGCTATACACAACCCTTATTTATTTTACAGAAAAGAGCTCTGAGAATCATCAATTATAATGGCTGTAGCGATCCATCAAACCCATTGTTTATTAAATATAAATTACTGAAATTTCATGATTTAAAAGACTGGAAAATATTACAAACTAAGTATAAAGCCAATGTAGGTACTCTGCCAACAAACATTCAGGGGATATTTGAAAAGAGAACTAGTAATTACATGCTGAAAGAAACTGATGTGTTTACAAAACCTAGATTTAGAACTAAAATGAAGGAGTGGAATATATCTGTAAATGGTGTTAAATTATGGAATAACCTCAAAAGAGAATTTTCAATTCATTTCAATTCAACTTTATTATCGGACTCAAGGTCCAGTGTCTCCACATGGATGATTGGTAACGCACTGCACTAAAATGGGGATCAACCAGCATCTGCACAAGTCTGTTCTTAGAGTTCTTCAATCGCAAGATAAACCTGTACATCAAATTCCTCATTATGGCTTGGAAGGTCCCGACATGAGCATTACAAAATAAAAGACCGAGGCTTCTCTAGCAGAGTCCTAAATGCATCGTTGTAGGCTACTTTAAGCTTACGCAAGCTGGCTTTCCTATACTTACACCACAAAGGTGCAGCATACAAAGGTGTGCAGTAGGTTCTAAAAAGGTAGAAATTTAAAAAACTCAGTCATTTAATATATTAAAAAATGTACCAAATTGGGTGTACTAAATAATTATAAAAATGTAAATTAAATCAATGACTATGATCGCGCTGGAATTAAGAACAGGAACATTTTTAAAATGAATCTTCTATGTGTGTCTGACAAATGGAAATGTAATACTGTATTGAATACAAATAGATTATTTCTTCTGGAAAAGGGGGAAAAAGTTATAAGATGTTTTTCTTCATTCTTTCTTTTTCTTCATTTTCGTTCAAATTAGAGTTTTTTATGTATATCTTATTGTTTATATGTTTTATTTGTTTTTATTTTGAATGAAATAAACGAATAAAAAAAGAGCATGGGAACTAAAATCAAGCAGCTGCCCACATGTTGAAGGTAAATGACATTATTGGCAGCAGCACTGAGAGAAAAGCACCAAACAACACAACATTTCTTGAAGTGACATTTTCAGCTAAGTGCATGTGCAGTTTCATGTGCTGCAGCTGAGCACCCAATTAGTCCACAAACTGGTGTGTGTGCTGCACATTCTGTGTGAATGTTGGTGCTGTCACAGAGCTGAAATGCATGGCAAGTCTAGGGCTAGACTTACGCTCCCACTACAGCTGGCAGACAATTACCATCATATAAAATAACCACATCTTATGAGTCAAAGTAGCAAGTATGATAGGTTGTCGGGTGAACATCTAAAAGCACAGAGCAACAGCAAAGCAGCCCGTGGAACAGATGAACAGAAGCATGCTGGGCAGAGACGTTCTGTGAAACATCTCTCTTCAACACAAATCCCTCCGTTTCTGTTTCCCAAACAGCACTTGAGCGATGGAGGCTGCGTCTGCAGGGTTGAGCTAATGGACAGTAACCACTGCTGTCAAACACTCTATTACAGCAAACAAAGCTGTGTTCATCAGCGGGGAACATACAGTCATGTGGGACTGCTACCAATAACAGAACAAACTTTGATTTATTGAAACGAGGACAAACATAAATCCAACCCAGACACCGACTGGCGTGGAACAATCATCTTCCTACAAATGGTTCTCTAGAGCTGGAAGTCCTGTCATGGCTTTATTGTGTGGGTGTGCTGAATGATTCAGTTATACTAATAGATTACTGGCATATACAGTATGTCTTGGAAAGTGTCTAAAAACCAATCGGAGTTGCTCATTTGTACAAAATGCTTCAAATACTAAAGTCTTTGAATATTCTACTATTTCCTGCTTGATTCCCTCACGTTTCTCCTCATTTTGTAAAAGTTTTGAATCCAAACGTGAAGACACATCAAATGCCACGGTCTTTTTCATCAAAAGTGTGCTCCTTACGGGCAAAGCTGTTTTAGAAACTCGATGGAAATGTCAGCAGTGAAAGTGAACTGAAGCCACTGAATGACTGCAAGAGGTTCCTGTCTGTCATTATCTGCTCAGGTCTTCAACCCAGCATCGTGTGATTCACGCCAGGCAGACGGAGATAACGGGAGAAAATATTAGGCCAACAAAATGTCACAGCTGTTCTTAGTAGTCTGGCTTGTGGGCATTTAAGGTCCGTCTCTGGGTTTGATCAAAGAAATTGTAACGAGAGTTTTTTTTTCCCTAACGACACGATTAATTTACAGACATGGATAAAATTTCTGGCGCCCTTCCAATTATTATTTTTTCAACTGAATCTCAAACTAAAAGCTTATTTTTAAGATTAGATTTTCAGTTACTATTTAGAGTATTTTTTAATTCAGTAAATTTCATTGTGGGGTTTAATTTGAATGGGAATATCTCTAAATAAAGGAAGATGTGGAAAACAAAATCTCCTTTTCATTTTGGTAACGAACAAACGTCTTTTCAACCACATCATTCTGAAAAGAATGAAACCCTTTCATCTCTGAATGTGTGCAGAAACATGTCTTTTGCTCACCCTCTTCTGCTCTCTCCAGCGGCCTCGGAGTTTGTCATCCAACCGTGGAGCAGCGGAGGCCCACTGTGCTGCCAGCCTGCGCATTCGTCTCTTCATGAAGCTCAAAGACTCTTTCCCGGTGCCCACCTGCTCCAGCAGAGGCCCGATGTCAGACTGGAACACAGCCTGGACGACAAGAGCAATAAAAATCACTGCAACAGCAACGCGCCGCAAATGTAGAGGACATCTGATGCGATCTGCTTTTGCGCCGAGTTCAAATTTAGGAGAATACGTAAAGCCAGCTTTAAAATTTGGCCTGGAGCAGAACAGGAGGGGTCCTCAAAGATTAAATCAAACGGACGTCACAAGTTTGTTCTCTCTGAGTGAACTACTTTTTATTTTGGAGGTGGTTAAACACGTACAGAGCAGAGTCAGCTTGTCGTGTTGCGTTATGTGCTTGCACCCCGAGGCGAGGCTTCTGTAAGTGGCTGCCTGAGGGAAGCCTGCATCTACTAGTCACATCTACTTTACGCAATCTCCGCATCACAGCTCGAAAACTAGACGTGATTATAAATCATTAGTGAAAATATCAGTAATTCGTCAAACTCACGACATGGGAAATTCCTACAAAAACAACACAGAAATGCACAACTGTATATAATATTTTTCCCAAGGGCAACGACTTGTGTTCAGCAGGATGTGGAGCACCTAAGGGAAGCCTCGGGATTAGTCCCTACGGAGACACACTGGCAATTAAGAGCAGCTGGCAGAGAAGCAGGAAGGATTCACTTCATCATACCAGCTGGACGAAAACCGGGGGAGAACTAGCAGAGGTAAAGACTTACTTCAGGTCTTTGGAAGTGTTTTCCAAAGTTAGGATCTATTAATTTCTTTGGAAGTAAAATTTCAAGATGATGGGTTTCAAGTAGAAATGCACCAATTCTGATCTATGTCAGTGAAGTGTAACAAACCGAACACATTTAGCTTTTTCATTTGTGATGAGTGCGGAAGCAACACTGTTACTCCTGCTGCACACTGGAGGCAACAGCAGCGCGGAACGCCAGCGGAACGCCACTGCTTCAAATTGAATCCATTATGTCTATGAGTGTAACAAACCAGCCACGCCACTACAGATTGGATCAGGTTCTATTTCACCCAAGAGCCGCTTCTGTCAATTTCCGCAGTTTATATAGGGCAAGACAGGAAGTCACACACAGTTTTGGTGTCAAATCCCTGGTAATTTCAAAATAAAAGTACAGCAGCGATGAAAGTGCAACAGTGTGTTTTTCATGGCTTTAATCATGGCAGTGGAGAGAAACAACATCAAATATGACATCAAACAGCGATAACAACATGATTTCCTTTTAATGGCGGACTGCATAAACAAACCGTAACCTTTGAAGTCTCGAGGGATTTTGTGATCTTGCGAGTGGAGCGAAGAGTCGAGAGAGAAGCCGCTTCGCTGCTGAGACTCTCCAGGTGTGCACTGGAGTGCTGTAAATGTCGCGAGTAAACCATCCCGCTGCTGTTCCGCACCGCTGACGCTTCCAGTGTGCAGCTGTGGTAAGTTTGATTTTCTCCGTTTTCTAATTTGTGAAATGTCTTCCTGCTTGTGGAGTTTCCTCCTTTTTTGTTTGTTAACCCCCTTATTTCATTATCTCCACTCTCCAATTATCATTTCTTGTTGTTGTTATTTATTTGCCCCTTGTTTTTCTGCTTGTCCACTGGGTGTGATGTGTGTCGCAAAACCCCTGGGCCTCAACAGCCCGTAGCCAGTTTGTTTTAGTTGTTTTCCTGATCCAGCAGACTCGATTCAATAGTTTTATGTCCTGTTCAGCAAACAGAAACCTGTTAATTACCCACTAATTATGGGGACACTAAGTCACGCCCATCTACTTCTGGTCCATGGGTCTCCCAACACCAAATAAAAGGAAAAGGAGTCTATGAGGTGATTAAAGTTCTCCTTATCCCGTTTGATATGAGCTATGGATTTCAAGCATGATGTTTGAGAATTTTTAAAGACATATTTTGGAACAGGGGCAAAAGTTATTCTAGGTTTTGTGTGAAAACATGTAGAGGACTACAATTTTCGTCTCACCAAATTGACGTCATCAAACAAGACATGAAAAAGAGGAGAAGATTAGTTTAGCAAGCTTCAAATCTTTCTTCCAGTATGAAAGGAGAAGAATTAAATGTGGAGAAAAGCACTAAAAATCTGGCCATGTGGCTTGTAGCAGCTACACTGGGGAGTAGAGATTCTGCACTGATGTCATATATGCAACTTCTGATTTGTAGTCATTTTAATTATACATTTTTACAAGCTAATAAATGTCAAATTATGTGACAGACATAGTTGAAACACACATTTATCATTTAAACTGAAGTAAAACATACATTATGTGTGATTCAGGGCGTAAAGCAAAGCGTTTTAGAAAATAATTAGATTCCCTTTAATCAGTTAATTAAAGCAAAGAAGTGTCTAAAATATTAGGGATGTTGTCCCCTGAGGACCAGGTCTCGACCAGTCCGGCCACAACCTAACTGTATTTCCCCAAGTTGAGATTATCATAAAAGCTATTTACAGCGACTTTAAAGAACCACATTTTAAGAAGCAAGAATAACATCCCGTGTTCACAAGTAATTGAAATTGCGCCCACATTTTCAAAGTTAAACATATCTGTTTTAACAGCGGTAGTTTTTGCATCTTTACTGTTCCCCTGCTTCAGCCCTCTCCCCCTCCCCCTGCGCAGCGGCCGCAAACTCAATGACTACGTTTACATGCAGCCAATATCCGGGTTATGATCGGGTTAAGGTCGGTATTCGGGTTTCTGAGTTGATCAGAATAACCCGTTTACAAGCGTAAATAGAAAGAGTTACCCCTAACTTGCATAACCCAATTTAAATGCAGACGTTGGGGTAGCGTCAGGACGTATGGACTACGTCCAGACGCAATATGCGTCATTTCCGGTTCTTCTTGTTCCGGTATCCGTGAAAACAACAACATGTTTCCCAGTTCGGAAGAGATAGCGACCGCATTTGTTTGCGCTTTAGTTTACTCGTCACTCCAAAAGTGTGGTGCTGTGCCACGACTCGCCATGTTGCTCCCAACTTGTTGTTTACTTCCGGTGTTCTGGCGCATACAAGACGTCTCGCTACTCAAAAGACCAAGATTCCTTGCGAACAGAGCATGCGCAGAACACACGCTTTGATGGGGATATCCCGATATGCGTTTACACGACCAAACATTCGGGTTAGAAAAGGGTTACCCCAGGTGTAGTAACCGGGTTTTTAAAAACCCGGTTATGAGCATATCCGGGTTTTTGGCGGTGTTTACATGGACCTGCGGAACCGGGTTATTGTGAATATTCGGGTTTTAAAAGGGTTACTGGCTGCATGTAAACGCACTGAGTGATGCGCCTGCAGCCTCTTAGAGTTCCTGCTGATCTAAACATTGAAAGGATGATTTTATTTTCCTCACTTCTGATTACCTTCATTGGTGTCTGTTTGTTGCAACCACCAGGTACAAAAACAAACTTGTTTTTATTTGACTATTTTTCTGTCCCGTCTCATTTATTATCTTCCTGCATCTCCTCTCATTCCTAAAGAAAAACTGCTACCTGGCTTCATATTTTCACCTCATGAATTATCTTTGAACTACAATTCTAAAAGATCTACCGACCGCAAATATAGAGTGCGTGCGTGCTGCGCGTAGACCGCATCGGTGCGGTGAAGTCACCGGAGGATGAAACAGGTGATGCGCTCCGCAGCAGCGAAACGCAGCAGACACAAACAAAAGACAGAAAGCATAAAAACAAATAAGCCGACATAAACGATCGTGTGTTAACTTTGTTTTTGAGGTGGCGACACTTTGAGAATGTTACTGTGGCCGTGCTCAAGACGCATCTGTCTGGAGCACGTCAACGATCAGAGCTCTGCGCCACTCAGCTCTAAATAATCCCCGGAGAGTCCACATAGAAAATAGTAGAACCAGGATTGTTTTCGGGCTCCCCCTGAGTGTGTTGAGGGCTTCCAGAAGCTCCCTAGCTCACCCGTAATTTGAATCATGCGTATAGCACAAGTCTGTCGCGTGAGTTGCCGGATCCTAGCCTACAGTTGCCGGAACGGTCCTTTCAAAATAGAATTGTTCCCGGATCTTCTTCCGGCAAGATCCGGCTCAAATTAAGCACTGGCTGAAGCATAGGAGGATATGTTCATGTCCGAGATATTGTGTGTTCATGCATGTGTGTTGCAGCTTTAATAAGTGAGTCCATGACCTTTCTCCCAGTTCAGTCACAGCGTCTCTCATCTAAGATACACGTTCTTGGCGAACTGATCCAACGAGCTCACTGGCCCATGTGAGGAATGAGAGAGGGAAGAGATAGAGCAGCTGTCTGTATCCATTTTCCAGACAGAGTTTTGAAAATCTTTAGCCCTCAAGGTCAAGATTGGGGGAGCCAAATTCCGATAACAGCAATTGTTTTGGAAAAGGCCAGAAAGAAAGTTTCCTCTGTGTGTTCTTGGTATTTGTAAAAGTAGCTTGAGATTTTTGTAGAGCTATTTGTTTCTGATTTACCATTAGCATTGTTAGCTCAACAATAGCCTCCAACCTACTTCACTTGATGTTGTCATCACGTTACAATGTTGAAGTAAAATCAGAAGATGCCGTTGCTCCTCAGGGGTACAAGAAATACCTTCTGAGCCGCTCCTGTTACTGGTTAACATGCAGTTAAAAATGCTGATACATTTTGCCGGCCGAAATCAAATTACAAATGCCGGCACAGATTTGGCATCCCTGTGGGCTCACAGATTGAACACGAATTCACGTCTCTCTTCCTTTTTTACAAAAAGAGAAAAACTGACAACCCCTCAGCTGTCCGGAAATTAAATCTGTTTTAATGTCACCTTTCTTTCAACATGATTGAGACATTACACTGCTTTATGATTGTTTTCAGTGTAAAATTGTTACTTTTAACACATCTGTAATATCCCTTTTATATGTGATGTTGAAATATTGTTTTTAAATAGTTACTGATTTATTTTAAATTATTTATATGTTTATTTAAGTAAAAATTTTTACACACCCATTATTACTTCCTAGAAATTAGCCATTATTTTAATGTTTACATAATCTAGATTAACATCCTAGATGTTCTGGGCTTTTTCACCAACTGTGTTTTCCTGTTTTATTTGTACCTTCCAGGCACTTCACAAATGTGGTTGCATTAGTGGCTAATGTTTTCACTCTAAATGACATTATTGCCATGTTCGATGTTCCCCCTCTTCAGCCGACTGTGTTATTATAGTGAACGTAAAACTAATGGTGTGGAAGTCGAATGCTACCTGTTTCTTGGGGAGAGGCCTCTGGGTGGGGGTAATGGTCTGGTTCCTCCAGGCCAGCGGGGGGCAGAACCACTCCACTTCACTCAGGTAGATGAGGAAGGAGCAGTCGGAGCCGTCAACGCCGTAAAACGCGTAGCAGGGGTCGGAGGTCCAACGAGTGCGCATCCACTAGACAATAAAGGTTGGAGAGTGGAACACTTCATGTATTCACTACTACATTTGTGCATTTTCACTTTCTACATTCAGGATACGAGGCAGATGGATTGTAACACAAATGTTTCCTCACAAATCAACTCCAATGACAAAGTAAAGCCTTTTTGTATGTCGAGATATATTTGGTGCAAAACTAAACAACAGGACAATTAAGACCTACTTCCATCACTGATGAGTACAAACATTACCTCTTATATGTTACCATGGTTACAATATCCCAGCTGTTGGAGCTATTTATATACATCTGATATTCCAGTCTGTTGGACAAAGACTGAATCTTTCCAGACATGATTAACGAACAGCACACTTTAAACATGCTCTAGTTTTGTGGGCTTTATTTCCCCTTTGCTATTGCATCTACCAAATAGCATGTAGTGCTCTACTACATTGTGTAGTTTACAAAATGCCAATTAGACATAACTTTTTACTCCACTCTTCTCTGTGTAACACATGCCTTTCCTGCCATCCACACCTATGTACGGTAGCTTTCAGACTCTGAGTTTTCAAATATTTCAAACAATTTATTTAAAAAGAGGATGGTGAATTTTTGCCCAGGGAAGTCATTAAGAAATGACAAAAGTGATAAATGCTTTCTGTTCAGTTGGGCGTTAGGACTTACATCCATCTTGCTGGTGCAGTCTGGGTAACGGGGATCTTTGGGAGTTTCACATAATCCGAAGGCTCCTTCCCGAACTGGAAAGAAAGAAGTAAGAAGTATTTCACTCAAAGCTCTCATTCACTATTTTTTTAATAAATTGTGTGTGGTTTCTAGTATAAATGAATGCATTGGGAGTTGTTCTCTGTAGGAAAAAAAACTCTGGTGTTCCTTTTTCAGGAAGGAGAAGTCAGGCAGAGAAAAGGTGGGCAGAAAACGGCAGGATTTGGAGTCTTATCTATGGATATTTGGACAACTTGCTTCTGATTGGCTACAGCAATGTGGCCTGGCCTGACAGACTCATCCTCTGTTTGATTCTGGACAGAGAAAGAGTCTGGTTACTCACAGGCAGAGAGGCACATGAGGGGCGGCTAGCCAGCTCAAAAATAACCAATCAGAGGACGGAAATGCAGACTGCACCGCGCGATGCTGTAAATTTTTAGCTGAAGTCAAAAATGGCGTCTGGCAACGGTGCGAAAAATCTTTTTTTTTTTTTAGAAGAAAGGCTTTTAGCGCTTCTACTTGTTGTGGATTTAAAGACATTTCCAAGTCATTTAGAACAGAGGAAAGAGAAAACGACGCTTCAGTCTCCATGTTTATGACAAACTCGGTGTTGTGGAGTGTGACGTAGGCTACTCAGCGCTGATTGGCTCGGTTAGGATTCTCAGGGGGTGGGGTTATTTGAGTAGGAGAGTTCCCAGACCCTTTCTCTGCACAGAATTAAACAGAGGACGAGTCTGGCAGGCCAGGCTAACAGCAACGCAACCCAACCATTAACACTGCTTGCTTAGCAACTTTAGCAACGGCTAACAAATGGAAAACACGCCTCGGTAGAACATGAACATAGGAACACGCCTTGACGTTCCTGATGTATCTCCTAGAAAACCGGGGCGGGACCAAGCTATCAAAGCAAGGTTCCTTGACATGAGAAGCACCACTTTTTACAGTGATAAACTCTTCTTCTGCCATTCCTGCTATTTACTGGTATTGATATCTTATTAGTGGCACATGGTGTTCAAAAGGAGAACTGCAGCATCATCAGCACAAACAGCAATATTTCCACACCCAAGTACGCTAGTATGCTCTTGCGTACTTGTCGAGTATAGTTTATTTGCATTGATTGTTTATATTCTGAATTGGTTTTGACTGCTTATTAGCTCATGCACCTGGCCAGAGACACACAACCAAACTACCCGTAGCTTTGACTTTTGGAAACATCTCATGGTATGATTGTTTTGGCATTTTTCCCCAGTTCATTTGATTTTCTTCCCCTTGCGTATAGTTGACTTACACCAAAGCATAAAACCATCACCAGAACATCCTTGCTGGCCCTAGAGTCTGCAAAAGTTCAAAAATTAAATATCATGCTCTCATTTCACAATAAAATACTGATCAATCGTATTTTCTCAGGAGAGAAATTTCATAAACAACCACTTCTTCCAGGAAGTTACCTGCTCACTGGCTTGGAGTAAAATCACTTGCTGGGAGCTAAAACGTGTTAATGACTGCGGTGCTTATGTGATGGAAGACTCGAGTTGCTATTTGTTCTGTAAAATGCAAGTGGCGATCTTGCTTTTTTCCTTTGCTTTTTTTGGCCAGAAGTGCGTGCACTGCTGTTATTGATGAGACCAGGTGACTTGGAGTCAGAGCTTTCTTAAACCTGCTGAATGGCCAAGTCTGTAAACTCACTCACTGGGTTTATTATTCAAATACCACATTAGCATGACTCACACAAATAATCATCCTACCTCCTGTTCTGTTCCCTTAATATTTTTTCCTTCCCTCTCCTTTCACCCTTGCTACCTTTCCCCATCCTTCCTTCCTTCCCCCTTTCTTTTCCTTGAAGCCCGGCACCAGTAAGCCTAATTAAAGGAGCGGTTGCAGCTCCTCCACTGGCTTGCTGCCAACCGTCAAAGAGCACAATCACACAGACAAATAATTGCCAGCCATTCTATCAGATTAGCATGATAACGACAGACCTCTCACAAGGAAACACGCTACTACCTCTCGCCGTCAAAGCCAGGCTCTTCCCTGCCTTATTTTAATAACATATCAGACATTATGACGAGAGGAGAAAAGTTCTGGCATGTTTTAATGAGACAGTGTGTTAAACTGTGTACAGTCAAGTGCACGCTGAGGATTGAGAAAAAACATGAGGAAACTGAATTGTTAATTCACTGGATTTCTATTTTCTGTTGCGTGAAGTAGCTGAGAATGAAGGTTATTAGAGAAGGCTGGCGAAACTAGGATCTGAATAAGATCGTAGTTATTCATCACTATAATCTATAACTCCTGCAGTTGCCATATTATATGACAGAGACAATAGAACTCATTTATCCTGACACAAATAGTGGAAAACAGTTGGAATATTTGTAATGTTTGATGAAAAAGGCCAATTATGTTCTATTTGAACAAAAATGAAGTGCAAATTGTTGAGTTGCATGATTCAGAATGAATGAGTTCAAAATGTGTAGGTGTATTTGTAAATTAGGCTTAAAACCGTATGTGGCGCTCCACAGGGATGTATGTTCGGGGTCTTGTAATGGTGTAAGACTCAAATCGTACCTCGGCTGCTGGCCATGCTGCGCTGCAGGATCTGCTCCACCCGCACCGCCATGTCAGACATATTCTGGGCAATAGCCTGGATCCGTTCCACCAGTCCCATCGGCTGAATCCTGGTCAGTTAAACCAAACACAGAAACACAAAAATAAGTGAAAATTGCTCCGATGTTTTTAAAAAAATGGAAAAGATCCATCCCTCTTTTTAAATGTTTTCATCGGCTGCACAATTAAAAATTAAGCTTTGCAGAAATTTTTTGTTTACCTGAAGACATACAAGTCAGTGAGCCCCAGGGCAGCTGTGGCTAAAATGTAGCTCATCACCACCAGGGTGTGACTGGGTGTGTATGCATGGCTGAATGACTGATTGTGTTGTAAAGTGCCTTGGGGGGGTTCTAGGACTACAGAAGGCGCTATATCAAATACAGGCTACAGTTTGTCCAGTCATTTCGGAGATTTGACTGAAAAACCACCCGTATGCAGCGTATGCTTAGAAAAAAAAAAGTCCCAGTAAGCAGCCCACTTAAAGCACTGTTTTTAATAAATCATGTGTAAAAGCCAGTATGTCCATTAAAGCTGGCTCACAGACTTTTACAAATATATTTTTCTCGTTGGTACAACACTTTTCTCAGGAGTTGAAACAAACCCGACAGGGCTAAAAAGGCGCTCTACCACTACAACTACTGCCTTACAAGTTCTGTCAGAGGACGGACGGGAAAATGCCCAGAAGAGGTATCGTGTGTTTCAACGGGAAATTGTGGAGAACACAAATGCTAGTGATGTGACTGACGTTCACGAATGAATCAAATCTTTTGAACGGATTTTCAAAGTGAATGATGAGAGCCGAGTCCCTGTCGAGAACCGTTCATCTCAACAAACCTCCTCGAAGTCAGTCAAACTCACCCGCTAAAACCCCACCCACGGCTGTGACAGACGCAGGAGGAACCATAGATATGTCTATAAACACGTGTTTATAGACATATCTATGGGAGGAACGCTAACCAATCCCGTGCGTCCTCACGGACACCACAGGAAGACGTTGCTCTTGATAATAAAAAATACCAGCTCAACTGTCTCGCTCATGTTTAGGTCAAATCCAGCTCACAGAAGCCCACATGAGCTCCAGAACCGGATCACAGGCATCTCTCTCTCAGCTCAGCGGGCCAGCCGAGCAAACTTTCTGGGTCGGAACCAGATCAGAACCACCGTGGAACTCTAGGTGAGGATCGTGTGCAGCTTTAAAAAAAATCAGCTCAACTGGCTCATTGATGTCTGGGTTGGATCCAGCTCACAGAAGCCAGCATGAGCTCCAGAACCGGATCACAGGTGTCTCTCTGTCTCTCTCTCTCTCTAAGCGCTAAACTACGTTGCGTGAATGGATATTAACGAGTATGAGACCGCTGGCAGATGCTCATTAGTATTAATATTATATTAACTGACCAATAATATTTTAATAGTCTGGTAATCTAAACGATATTGTGATGTAAGCACACGAGTTTAAGCTAACATCCTTAACTCACCAAACACCCGCTGCTACCCCCTGCTTCTCCTCCTTAATCTCTTTGCTTTGGCCGATGGTTTCTCCCTCTGGTTTGTCTCTGCTCTCTGGGGCGTGCAACAAACTCATAACTTTATGGTTTTGCTCAATCATGAGGATAACTGTAAATATTTAAAGTTTCCTCTGCTTCAGAGCTGGCATTACAATCCATATTTTTCACTGGATTAAACTAACAGGACTCCTTCAGATGACGTCACTTGGTTTGGCCAAAAAAATAATAATTTTCTTCCAAAAATGACTCTAAAAACGTAAATAATTTATGTATGTGAAAAAAAATGTTTAAAACGAGTTTCTCTTATGTTTCTCTAAACATTGGTTCATGGGACTCTCTAGCCTGCAATTTGCTCTTTAAGAGAAAGGATCTGGCTCTAAACAAAGTAAACTGAGCTGATTATAAACCGGGAGAACTTACGTGAGCAGCAGGTGAGAGGAAATCAGGATAGATTAAAGCCGACGGATCCAACCAAAATAATCAACAGAGCAAAGTAAAGCTAACTGGAAATAAACGTGTTGGAATTGTGTGTCTCTGTGTTGTTCTGCGATGGACTGGCAACCTGTCCAGGGTATACCCTGCCTGTTAGCTCGGAGACTGCTGGAGCTAGCCAGCGTCCCACTACCCTGCATGGGTAAGACGGTAAAGAAAATGAATGGATGGAAACAATGATACAACACAACAAACAAGGCAACAAACTTTAAAAGACAAACAGTCAAACCAAAAACTCTTCGATTTTATTTTTGATTTTTCCACTTTTCATCCTGAGATTTTGCTTTTCATTTAATTCTGAAATGACTTTTAATTAGGTGCCAAAAAATCTAGTTTTGTTATTGGTTCTAGTTCTGGTTCAGAAAATCAGTATATTTAATATCATTTATTCAGAGTAGAGCCTTGTACAGAGGTGTGACCAAGTCACTGCTTTGCAAGTCACAAGTAAGTCACAAGTCTTGAGTCAAGTCCAAGTCATGTGACTCGAGTCCACACCTCTGACCTTGTATTCTTCTTGTGAATCTACTTTGCTTCTGTTACACATAAAGATCCCCAATGAAGAAGAAGAAAGTATCATTTCTATAGCGCCTCTCAACATAAAAATCACGAGGTGCTTCACAAAAACAAAAACAAAAATTTTAATATAAAAATGCATTTAGAAAATGTTTAAAAATATATTTAAAATGAGCAAAAAAAGGCAACTGGGATTTAAAAGGAAAAATGTTAAGAAAGAGAGAGAGTGAATAGGAAAGAGGGAAATCAGTGAATCCTGAGGAAGGTGGAATAGGTGGGGAGAGCAGAATAAAGAGAGAGGGGTTGAAGAAGGAGAACAATGCTTCTATCCTATTCTGACTTTACCTTTCCATGACTTCAACACGGCTGCCAACTACACTTAGAAAAAGGCAAACAAGGGGTATTTCTCAATGCCAAGAAACCTCGCCTTGATGTCTTGGCCCCCACCCCGGTTGCCTTGGAGATACGTCATCAGGAGCCGCCAAGACGTGTTCCTATGTTCATGTTCTACCGAGGCGCGTGTTCTCCATTTGTTAGCTGTTTAGCTAGCTGAGCTAGGATACACAGGAGGCGTGTTGTAGCCTAGCCTTGGTCCAAAATTTCCCAGAATACAGTGCGGTATTTTCAAAAGGATGGAGGATCAGAAGCCAGCAGCTACTTCTGGGGCAAATTTCAAGTTGAGAGGTAAGTCAACTAATTTAAAATGTTCTTTTAGATCCAAAGAAGTTTTCTATGGTTGGTTAGTTGCTTAGTAGTTGCAGCTTTGGTGGCCAGCAGGTAGTAACTCACTTATATATTTAATTTAATAAACATATACACAATTTAAAAAGTAAAATGCTCATTATATATTTATATTGAAACGAATACATATAAAATATAACGTTGTCTTCCGTGTCACGTGACGTTACGTGACTGCCGTGGAAGCCGCGGTCACGTGATGCAAGTCTGTTCCATTTAACCGTTTTGACCAAGGAAGGACAGTGTCCTCTTAAGCAAGGCGCCTGGCCTCGCAAGACATCGCCTCGCAAGGCCAGGTGCCTTGACATTGAGAAACACTCACAGTCTTAGGAATATTACATTTGAGCTATAAATAACAGTCTGGAGCATGGGAAAAGTTTTTTGGGGGGGCAAGGGGGACATGCCCCCCCCCCCCCACACACACACACACTTTTTCTTCCAAAGTCAGTTTTTGTCTCCTGCAATTTTTACCGTCCAAAAACAATATTACGCTGGTTAAGTAGACACTGGTTGAGCACAGGGACCAAGTAGAAGGCAACAGCTCACGTTATAGCCTGTTGGAACTGTCCAAAAGCTCATCCATTGGCTTTGCAAACGTGTGATTGGCAATTCCTGCCACCTGTGTACTTGACAGTTCTGCATTCCTGACATTGCATTAAAGAGCCTCTAGGTTGTAGTTTTATGCATATTTTTGTATACTTACTGTAAGGACCCCCCTCCCCCTGAACCCATGCCAGTTGCCCCCCCCCCCCCCCCCCCCCCCAACGTGTAAAGTCAAAACTACGCCATGGTCTGGAGCACTAACTAATTGTGAAACACATTCCTTAAATTGCTAAATCATAATTTCACATTGTTTCCTCGTAATTAGCTCATGTTTGCCTCCTTTTTCAGCTCTAATCAAACACAGAAGATGATGAAAAATATTTTTGCATGAAGAAAACCTTCAAACAAGTCACTGCTACTGCTGAAGTCCGCTTTCTTTTACCTCCACGTATTCTTCATCACAAACTCTAAATATAAAAGCAGCTCCTGAACTCAAACTTGAGCCGATCGGCACGCGGCTTTAATGATCGCTGCCGTGTACTCCACAAAAAAAATAATATTCAGTGATGTAACAGCTGTACTGTTGGGTATCATTAGCAGCTTACATGAAAACAAACACTTCAATGAATTATTTTAATGAGCCCTCTTGTACACTGGGATGCTGGAAATTACATTGCTCATTAAACAGCTGTGAATGTCAGAAAACCTGGAAAATTCACAAAAAAAAACTCCCAAAAAATAATAATGAAAGCAAACAGAACAACAGTTCACAGCCGGGTGCAGATCCAGCAGTAGGGGTCTGATTTTTCATGGAGGCTGCTGTTGTTGCTGTAATTTTCTTGTTCATTTAAATTCACTGTGTCTTATTCAATAAGTTTTATTTTATTAGATGTGATGAATGTTTTTTTTTAGGTCAAATGACTGTATGGGTTGGCCACACCCAAGGGAGAATAATGATGATAACTTGTGACCCTAAGAATTGATTCTCAGGAAGACTGCAGATCAAACATGAACAAATAAAATAATTCTAATTTCTTTTGTGTGTCTGAGCAGCAAAACATGACACCAAGTTCCCGTTTCAGGAGCCAGAGGAGAGCTGATCTACAGATGGCAGGATTTGAAGTTTTACTTCCTGATATTCAGACATCTTGCCTCTGATTGGCTAACAGCAACACAACTCTACCACTGACTTTGTTTGCTCTGCAACGTTGATGTTTTATCTCCACAAATAACACAAGCTCGAAGGAGTTCTGCCCTGTTTTAGGCACGCCAAGGCAGCT